TGTCAAACCCCGGTGTCTAGAATGATGGTAAGTGATCTCAGCATAGGTAGAAAAGTTAGGAAAAGAGGGTCTTTTGAAGAATTTGAACAGATGGAGAGGGTAGGAGTCCATCCCAGCCATGGGAGACAATATGTGAAAAAGACAGGAAACGGCAGATCAAGATTGGCTGTAATATGTAATCTGTAAAGGGGAGAAGTACTTGATAAGGCTGGAAAGATGTCAGACAGCTCATCGACAAGCTAAAAGCATACCTGTACGTTTCTCCAACAAGTACACTTCATCAATTTTATGAAAATGAATACTAAAGTCCAAAGCTCCCTTAGTACATCTCAAAGAGATTTGCCATGAATTTTCTTATAAATTAAAGAATTCTTTTATAATAGGAACAATAAAGTTGAGTTTTGTAGTTCACTGTTTTGTACAGAACACTTCCACTGTGCTTAGGGGTTTGTTTAAGATAGTGGCATCCTGTACATTTAACAGACCATTGCCTTTTAAAATGTTTTTCCCCTGACAGACCATCATGTAGTACTTTGTACTCTGTGGCAATGAAGCCATAAGACTGACAGATGGTAAAATAGATAAATTCATTTAGGACCAAATATAGGACTAGATATCAGGCTATGTCTATGAGTTATAGAGAACTGATGAATGGAGCAATCACTTTGCTAAACCAGATTGTGAAGACCTCAAATGCTAGGTCAGACTGGAGTGTCTTCATGACTAAGGTCCCCACAGGATATAAATTTGCTTCTCTGCTTCATTACAGGTGTGTGAACCTGATCTCTTGACCATCATTTCTGGCTCGGGCATTTCACCATATACTTTAGTCAAAATCAATTCATTTGAAAGGCAGGGTAGGGTAATGGGAAGAGCATATAGTTTGGGGTTGGTAAGCAGCTAGGTGATGCAGTGGCTAGAGCACCAGGCCTAAAATCAGGAAGACCTGAGTTTAAATTTGCCCTCAGACACTTACTAGCATGGTGACCCTGGGCAAGTCACTTACTTAACCCTCTGTCTCAGTCTCCTCATCTGTAAAATGGCAATATTAGCACCCACCTCCCAGGGTTGTTGTGAGGATCAAGCACATTGCTTTGCTTAACATAGTGCCTGGTACATATAATTGCTGATTATTATTGTTATTATTATGCCTGGGTTCAAATCCCAACTTTACTAGTTTCTAGGTGACTGACTTAGAGCAAACCTCTCAGCTTCATTGAACCTCAGTTCCTCAAACATAAAAATGGAGATAATATGTGCCTTGTCTATTTCAAAGGCTTGTGACTATGCGATTTGAGTGAGATTAATGGATATAAAGTGTTTTGTTAATCTGTGAAGTGCTGTACACTTGAAAGCCACAGAGGGAAGTGTATTGTCTCAGGAGATTTACAGGACTTAAGGTGGCCTCAGAGAATAAGATAATAGATTTTTGGCTGGAAGGGAGCTTAGAGGTCTAACTTTTTTACTTTATTGATCTTACAGAAAGAAGTATACATTTCTGTGTTCTCTGCCTCTGGAAGAAGGGTGTGTGAGTGTGGGGTGGGGGTGTGGAGGGTGTGTGTGTGGGGAGGATGGTAGGAGTAGGGAAATTGGTCTTAATGTAGAAGGGATTTAAGAAAGTTGGACTTAATGACCATTAATGTCTTCTTCAAACTTTATGATTTTATCACAACAGATGCTTTTTTAAAATGGATTTATGTATGTACATTAGCTTTTCTTTCCCCCCATTTATTTATTTTTAACATTCATTTAAAAAAATTTGAGTTTCAAATTCTCTTCCTCCCTTTCGTCTCTCCTCCACTCAATAAAAAGTAAGCAATATGATATATATTTTACATGTGAAGTCATGCAAAACATATTTACATATTAGCCATGTTCCCCCAAAATGAATAGAAGGCAAGAAATATAAAGAAAGTGAAAAAAAAATATGCTTCAGTCTGCACTCAGAATTCATCAGTTCTCTCTCTGGAGGTGGATAGCATTTTTTTCATCATGGGTCCTTTGGAATTATCTTAGAACATTGTCTTGATCAGAGTAGCTAAGTCTTTCACAGTTGATAATCATGACAATACTGTTTTTACTATGTACAATGTTCTTCTAGTCCCGCTTACTCACTTTGCATCAAATCATGTGGGTCTTACCAGATTTTTCCGAAACCATCTCACTCTTCATTTCTTTTTTTTTTTCCTTTGGTGAGGCAATTGGGGTTAAATGACTTGCTCAGGGTCACATAGCTAGTAAGTATCAAGTGTCTGAGATAGAATTTGAACTCAGGTCCTCTTGACTCCAAGGCCGGAGCTTTATCCACTGCGACACCTAGGTGCCCCTCACTCTTCATTTCTTAAAACACTTAAAGAAATTAATTCAGACTGCTCATTGGAAGGATAAATACTAAGCTTCAGCTTAAATACTTTGGCCACATAATGAGGAGATAGGACTAATTGGAAGAAGACCCGAATGTTGGGAAAGATTGAAGGAAAAGGGGACAGTAGAGGATGAGATGGATAGATAGTATCATGGAAGCAATGAACATGAGCTTGGACAGACTTTGGGAGATATTGGAGGATAGAAGAATCTGGAGTGCTATGGTCCATGGGGTCACAAAAAGTCTGACATGATGAACAAATGAACATTCCACCACAATCATTTGTCACAATTTGTTCAGTCATTCCCCAGTTGATGGGCATCCCCTCCACTTCCAATTCTTTGCCACCACAAAAAGAGTTGTTATAAATATTTTTGTACATATAGGTCCCTTTCCCTTTTCTTTGATCTCTTTGGGATATAGACCTAGTATTTATCTGGAAATGTCTTTATCAGAACAATTCTATGGGAAGCTGGAGTGAGAGAAAAGACACCTAGGAGAATATTTTCCATGTTCATGGGTTAGAATTGGGAGCTGAAGAGCTGTTATCTGTAATTGGTGATCGTCTTTTAGAGACTGAAAACTGGATATGAGTCAAGAGTGTGACATAGTAGCCAAAAAACCAAATGTGATTTTCGGCTGCCTTATGAGGAGCACGGTGTTCGGAATGAAAGATGGGATAGTTCTGCTATTGTACCCTGCCTTCATCAGACACCATCTGGAATGTTGTGTCCCGTTATGGCATGCCACATTTTAGGAAAGACATTGATAGTCTGGATACATGTCCAGAGAATGGCAACCAGAAGGTGAGGGGAACTGGAGACCAGGCCATAAAAAGATCACTTGAAGGAACTGGAAAATGTTTTCTCTGATCCTTGAGAATTAAAGATTGTTCATCTTTGTACTTGTATCCCTGGCCCTCAGCACAGTGTCTGACACAGAGTAGACACTTAATAAATGCTTGTTGATTGGTCTGGATAAGCCTTTGTGGAGGGAGCATGAGAGATACATTAATAGTATTTGGAGGGGTAGCATGTGGAAAAGAGATTAGATTTATTTTGTTCAGCCCTAGAGGCACATCTAGTAGCAGTGGGTAAAAACTGAAGAAAAGCAAGTTTATGCTCCATGTAAGGAAGTGCTCCTAGCAATCAGAGCTATCCAGAAGTGGAATGGTCTGCCTTAGAAGGTGGTGAGTTCCTCATTAATAGAGTGAAAGCTGCAGTGATCACTTGCCAGGGAAGTTGTTCAGCAGATTTCTGCTCAGGCAGGGTTCCATTAGATACCTCTTTGAAGTCCCTTTCAAATTATGACATTCTGTGATTTTGTGATTTTTGGTACTATTGGAATAGAATCTGTGGTCTACAATACATGTGTATGACTGGTTGAATAGAAGAAAGAATGTATTTGAATGGTGTTTCAGTGATTCTTCTTTCTCCAGCAGCTAGTCATTCAGGATAATCCACAGTGCAGATAAACCACCTGCAGATAACCAAAAAAATGACTGTAGTTTCCTTTAAATTGGAGGAACATTTGAACTTGGCCACGGAGATAGCTGCAGTGCCTTTTGGCTTTTTCTACCACTCATTGGACAAGCCAGAAGCAAAGCTGGCTAGAGGAAAAGACTGATACATTGAAAAGGTCCTGAGTCATCTCCCAACAAGGCATCTGGGGAAATTCAGGTGCCCTCTAAGAAGGGATGATTTAGGTGCATTTGCTGGTAAGATTAGGACTGGCATCACATGCACACTACTCAAAGGAATTCCTTAGGTGCCTTGGGTTGAAGGAGACACCACTCCTGCCCCTGGCTAATGGCTCTCTGGCCTTGGCCTCATGCCTGAAGTACTGATGTGCCTGGGGATTATTGCAGAGATGATGATGATTGAGGTTTTGATCAAATCCCCTGACACTGTAATGCCCTGCAAAACTGATTGCGGGGGTTTGGCATCTGGTGAGGTGAGCAGAGGCAAGTAGGGAAGGCCAGGGGAATCTGCCATAATCTATTTTGGCACCTCATTGTTTCCTTCCCTAAATTGCACCCTTCGAAGCTCTCCATGTCTCCCCTTCTCCCTCTTTTCCTCATTCTCTGCAGAAGGAGCAGAGAATCATGAGTAGCTCTCTGGCTGTCCCCACTCTTTTTCTTGGGCCGAAGAGGGGGTGAAACGAGACACGAGGCTGTTTCCTGCAGCAGAAGATGCTGCTAAAATGAATGCTTCCCCCACTCCATACCCCTTCCTCCCACCCTTTTGCCAGGTGGCTGCACATTCGTGATTCGGAGGCTGATGTTTTAGCACCGAGGGTTGATCGATGCTGTCGTGACAAAGCAGAATGAATGGAGCCCCAGTTCCCCTTCGCAAAACAACCCCGAGCCTTTGCGTATCCTTCATCTGGGCAGCTCTCGAGTACATTGCCGGGAAAAAGGTTTAAGTGACACTTGGAGTATTTTTCCATTTTCTTGTTTTCACCTTGTAAAAAAAAAAAGTCACAGGATCTGCTTCCCTGGCACTCTGGAAAAACGGGTGGAGGTTTGGGGAGGGAGAGGGGAAGAAAAATCATATGACTACAAGTAACTGATTTTGCGTTCGCTGGGAGCGTCTGGAACTTTGGGCTCTTCTGCATACCCGTTTCCTCCCAGCGGGGGGCCGCCTGCTCTGTGGCCAGGGCAGTGACGTCACGGAAAAGCCCTGTCTGATCAGATGTGCTTAATATAAACCTGGGGGAGCCGAGCAACGGCTGGAGAGAGGCAGCCAGTTGGAAGCAGAGAGGAGTTTACTCCAGCAGAGCGGCACCCCAGCCTGCGCTCACTCGCTCGCTCACTCGCTCGCTCCAGTGTGAACAGGAGATTCCCCGGGATCCCGCCGCTGCCTTGACTGGAAGGGACTGTGAAAAGTCAGGTAGTGTGTGTGTGTAAGAGGGTACGTGTGTATGTATGAGCACTCTTGGGAGGCTACGCTAGAACTTGGGGCTCTATCGGAGGCCAGAGACCTCTGCAGTGAAGGGGTGCGGATGGATGGGACGAGGATGGATGGGACACGCGATACCGGGAGCAGCAAAATGCGGCGTCTTCCATCAGCCTGAACTTCTTTTTAAGTAGTGAAAAGTGATCGTGGACTCTACGATCCAGTCTCTAAAATTTCCCAGAAAAAAAGAAAGGAGCTTAAGATGAGAATAATGGCAATTCTTTTTTGGGGAGATGGGGTATGATGTCATTAATCAGTACCAATTTTCAAGGCAGATGCCCAGATGGATGGTGATGGTGATGATGCCTCGTTTTTCTCCCTCTCCCCCAAAAAACCCCAAACCCTGCCACTTCGAGTTACTGTTCTTATGTGCCATTCATCATCTTGTCTGGGGACTGATGTGCCTCTAGTGACTTCTTGGTTAATTATTTCTTGCTCTTGAGAATGGATTTTGTTGAGGAAGAATATAAATGCTCCGCTCCAGATACTAACTGAGTTCACAAAACTCCAGGAAAGAGGGAACCCACAATACAGTAGCCTAGAAGCTATGGTGGACCTGTTAGAGAGTGTTGATTGTACTACAGATTTCTGAGCTAAGGAGGGATTTTAGAGGTCACCTAATTCAACCCCCTCATGTTACAGATGAGGAAATTCAGACCACAGCAGAGAATTGACTTGCCCCAAGGTTGCACAGCTTGTAAGTGTGAGAGGGGGGATTTGAAGTCATCCAAGTCCAACACCATCCATTACTTCATCATGTCTTTCTGCTGCCCAATAGTCCATTTTTTTTGTATCTGTTTTCTACCATTGAGGCTCCCAGAAGATTAAAAAGCTCTGTTGAATTAATGAGAAATTGCGAAAGGACTCAGTGAAAAGCGATGTGCATGGGCATTCCCAGTGCATGTTTGATAGGTTTGGAAATGGCTGAGTGAACATTTAATGCCAGGATAGTGAGCATCATGGTGGTATTTTTTTTAAAAGCATGCCAGTGAGCAGAGGGCAATGTTGAGGCATAAAACTCAAAAGAGAAAAAATAATTAAAATAGTAGTCTCAGCAGCTGGAGATCATCAAGGCAATGTGACTAAACATGGTAGTTCCAATGTATATACTGCTCAAGCAGAGGGGCAATGATGTCATTGCCACAGGTTTCCAACCAAAGCAGATCAGGCTGATGAATAGGTCAGTATAATTAAGTGCAGAATGAGCTGGAACGATAACGTGGTCCCTGGTCTGCTGCTCCTCAGAACTACTCACTTGTAGATTTCAGTGGAGGAGGATTTTTGTTTTTGGTGTGTTTGTGACTTTTGCTTTTTTAGGATCAACTCTCAGTATTAGCCCTCAGGAGCTAAGAAGAAGCTTAGTGTGATAGAGAGAGCACTGGATTTGGTGACAGAGGATCTAGGAATCACTTGATCTCTCTGGGCCTTAGTTTCTTCATCTGTAAAACTAGTGACTTACAGTACTTGATCTCTCCAGTAACTTCTGCTTCTAAATTATGACCTATCTGGGGAGTACTCACCCATGATACCCTTTTCCTTCCCTTAGAAATGGTACCCAGAGCTGTTTCGATACCTGAAGTAGATGAGAAATCCTACTCCTAGGAGTGTGACTGAGCAATTCGAACTTGGACCACTCAGAGCTCAGGGCTATTTTATTGATACCTTGTGTTTTGGAGATATGTAGTTCTCAGTTCGTGAAAAAAAAAAAACCGATGAAACTCCAAGTACGTCATCCTGGTGTTCTGTTTGCTCCCCAGGAACCAACAATGACTCTGAACAATGTCACCATGCGCCGAAGCAGCACAGCCCTGCAGGCACAGCAGCAGCGCTGGAGCATTCCTGCAGATGGGAGGCACCTGACGGTCCAGAAAGACCCACACCCATACAGCAACCGCAACCGATACTCCATGAACCCAGAAGACTACTACCGTCGAAGCTGGTCATCTGACTCCACAGATTCAGTCATCTCCTCTGAGTCTGGAAATACATACTACCGAGTGGTGCTGATTGGGGAACACGGTGTGGGCAAGTCTACCCTGGCCAACATCTTTGCAGGTGTGACCGATAGCATGGACAGTGACTGTGAGGTATTGGGAGGTAAGTAGCTAAGTGTTGAATTGTCTCTAGTCAACAGGCCACACCAGCATTAAAAGCAGAGCAAAATAGCTGGGCTATTTATCAGTAGGGTTTAGAAATGAGATAATTCATCTTGGCCTTAACTGGTTTGTGAAAGCCACAAGTCTCTGGTTCAATCTCTGTGGACCAGGAAGAGTAAAATAACCATTGACAAGGATCAAATCTTCTGAATCTTGGCCAGAGAGGGGAATACTTGGATTCCAAGGCTAAACAAAAGAGAGAAGTGAGGTCCAAGGGCATGGAATCCTATTTCTACTTTCCATAACTATGTGACCCTGGACCAAGTTCCTTGGTCACTCATTACTCCAGCTCTTAAAAGGATGATTTCAATTTTCATGTTGGAAAAATCCATGTGCATACCTCAGGGGAAAAATAGAGCCGTATCTTTCTGGGAGTTCCAGTGGAAAGGTGGTCATAGCATTATTCTTACTGTTATACCTTTTGAACATGGTCAGAGTGGACTGATCAGTTAAGGCTGCTAAGTTGTAGGTAAATAAGAAAGGACTTTATTCATTATTCCTAGAAAAGGAGGACAATAGGTAAATAAATAGTAAAGCAAAGGGGAAAAACCAGTGTTCTTTCTGAACAGGATAGAAGGAAATAGATGCTGCTTCATGCCAGGTTTCTTCTTCCTTGTTTCACAAGGTTGGGTGTGGCTGTGGCTAAAAGAGGAGCCGACTAGCTCTGTCTAGCAAGCGGGGCAGATTCCCACATATCCCACTAGTAGACTGTAAACTGTGTGAAGGCAGCAAGCGTGTCTTTTCTAAACTCTGTGGTTAGAATTGAACACAGTGCTCTGGGCTCAATAGGTATTGTTGGATTGGTGTCACACAATTGGTGATACTTCCAGTCTCAGACAGGGCTGCTGAGAATTGATGACATCTTTTTAAAAAAAATCTACACCTGTGATTTCACTGGCTAAAGGCAACTCCCATTGAGGAAACTCCCTCTCCCAAGGCAAGTTACCAACTGTTCTGCAATTCACGGTCTCTGAGGCACTGAGAGGACAAAAGACCTGACCAAGGTCACACATCCAGGATGTGCCAGAGTTGGGATTTGAACCAAGGTTTTCCTGGCTCTAAAGTCTGCTCTCTAAATTCTATGCCACTTTACTACTCCAATACCACATGTCCATATGATAAATCTACTTTTTTCTAGTGCTTATATATCACTGTGCCTGGCACTCAGTAGTTACTTAATAAATGCATCTTGCTTTGCACATAGTGTACTTTCACACCTATATGATTCTCAGAATAACAGCTTAGTCAGATGGGCAAGAAACATTCTGCTCATTGAGGTTTGGGGGAAAATGACCTCTCGAGCCCCTTCTAACTCCAAGACGCTATGATTAATTTCACAGATTTTCCACTGGGTGGCATTTTGAGTCAGACTTGAAGACACCTCACTCATGGATTTGGAAAGATGATAGATTGGATGCTACCTGGGGGAGGGGGTCACTTCTTTGGAGAATTTGAGAGATATTGGAAACCTGTTAGATTGCATGATATGATTTATCTTGTTTTTATCTTCAAGGACAGAAAGAAGCCTTGGCAATAAGGAAGTTCAGAAAGGAGAGGGGGAGATGATGAGTTCAGTTTTAGACGTTCACTCATCAATCAACTAGCATTTATTAGGCATCTACTATGTGCCAGGTATTTTGCTCAGTCCTGGGAATACAAAGACAAAAATGAAATAGTCCTTGCCCTCCAGGAGATTATATTCTATTAGGTGTGATGAATGAAAAACCCTAAGAGACAGAATTTTCAGGCAATTAATTATCATTTCATTTATTATGCTAGCTAATAATCAAGAAATTGACGATCAGTGGTTTCTCTCAGTAACCAAAGTCAAAAACTTAGATAGCCTGAAAGCCTTAAATATTTTTTTGAAAGGCAATGCCACTGAAAAGTGAAAGGCAACCCTGATTGATGGACATTTAATGAGGAGGTGGGCTAGAAGTCTTCAGCTCTTCCTGCTAAGAATGTTGCTTGATCATGAGACTCAGCTGCCTCCAACAATATGGACAGGGGAATCTATCTCCATCCAGACCTCTCTGGTTGGTTTTCTCCTTCATGAGCTGGGTCACCCTAAAGTCCACTGGAGGGGTACAAAGACAATGCCCCTTGCTCCTTTCTCCTTTCATCTAAACTGAATTTTGTATCAGGGTGGGGAATCTTGGGGCCACATGTGGCCTTCTAGGTCCTTGGGTGGTGGCCTTTTGACTGAGCCCAAGTTTTACAGAACAAATCCTTTTATTAAGGGGATTTGTTCTGTGAAGTTTGGATTCAGTGAAAGGGCCACATCCAAGTACCTAGAGGGCCACATGTGGCCTTGAGGCCACAGGTTTCCCACCCCTGTGTCCAAACCAAAGTAAGTTCTCCTATTTGGGTGGAGTCCCACCCAACATTGAGAAGCATGTTTCTTTGAGGGGTAGGACAATCTCATCAATCAGTCAAGTCCTTCAGAGACTGACTTTTCATAGGGGCTGGGCCTTGAAAGAGAAATAAAGGAGAGAAGCTTTGATCCCAAACTAATAATAGTAAAATGATTTCTCTCATAGGGGAGACAACATGCAAATAAGAAAGAAGATAGCACTAAAACTCTGCTCTACTAAGATAATTGAAAAATATAACATAAAAGTGATTAGCTTAAACCTTTCTCTTTTGCCACTCACCCCAACCTTCCCCCAAAGCTCACTGAATTCTCTTTCTCCTTGCCTCCTTCCGTCCCTCCCCACTAGAAAGGGCAAAAAATAAACAAGTAAAGAGAGGAGTCAAACCTTGAATAATTGAGAGTTATTAGTGCCTCATTATAAAGACCATCAATAAGTAACTTGCATTTAATAAGAGTTTATGTTTCTATAGTGCTTTATGGCTTCTGAAACACTTAGGTAACACAAGTATTATCAGACCCATTTTTCCAGAAAGGGAAATTGTACCTTAGGGACTTAAAATGACTTGTCCAAGGTCACACAGCTAATATGTAACAGAGTCAGAATTTGAACCCAAGTATCTCTTGACTCCAACTCTCAGTACTCTTTCCATGACACCACAACATTCTCAGAGTCCCCAAGGCATGCTGAGAAGTGCATATATGACCTCAGATCTCCTCATCTAGCCCATGCAAAGTGCGATAGTGTTCAGCAGTGTATCTTACTGACCCGTTGTTTCAAGCTCACAATTATTTGGAGGCAGAGATATGACTATAAGTGACAACCTTAAGAAAAATTACCTTTTTAAAGTATGGTGTTATGTTTAGAGTCTCTGTCCCTTGGAGATAGATAGATCCCTGGTCCATTTCCTCTTCATGATGACTTTCTTTAAAAACCCAGAAAAGGTTTGACTTTGCCTCTATTTTTCTCCAATTCTTGGTATCTGTTTCAGTCTGTGTTCAGGTCACGCTGTCCCTTGGACCTCAGGCTTCCTGATTTCCCCATTGATTCTGATTTCCAGGGAAGTCCATGTTGAAGGTGTACAAAGTGCAACTTCTGAGTTTAGGGAGGGGCCTAAGAGAAAAGATAAAAACCTTCCTCTAGGGAATTGGCCAACTTGACCCTTGGTCAAGGGGAGTGATTAATCCTAATAACCTTAATACCTGGTGTGTCTCCTTGGATTAAAATCTTGGGGTTCTATAGATTCAGGGTAATGTTTTTCTTAAGTTTGCATGGTAAATTCAAGAGGTCCTACCCACAAGTACTTAAAATAAAATAATGACAACATCCTACTGAAATCTTATTCTTCCTGAATATTCAGGGAATGACACACGTGACATGAATAAAGAATTTTTAATCTAACCCACAAACGGGGATCATGCTCAAGATGGGAAGAGACATAAACACATATGGAGGTGGGGGAGGCTGAGGGATAAACACACAGTGGCAGCTGCCAACAGGCAGTCTTCTTCATCCATATGCTGCTTCTTTCTTGTCTCCTACTTGTTCGTAGCTTCAAGATATGAAGGGATTATAAACGGGGGCAGAGAGGTGTTCCTACATACTTGCTAGGTAGGTAGGGCTGGGCTTGGGCCTGGATCTATGATTTCATTGGCTTAGGAAACTCCTGGATGAGGGAACTCCCTTTACTAATGCAGGTTGCCAACTTCGCTTGCTTAGAGCAGCAATTCTCAAACCTTTTGGTCTCAGGACTCTTTTACACTCTTAAGAGTTATTGAGGATTCCCTGAACAGTGTTTATTTATGTGAGTTCTATCTCTCAGTATTAGAAAAAAAATCTTAGCATTTTAAAGAAAATAGTTTTATGTACCCCCTAACACTTACCAGTTATGTGACCCTGGGCAAGTCACTTAAACCCTTTTGGCCTCAGTTTCCTCATCTGTCAAATGAGCTGGAGAAGGGAATGGTAAATCACCCTGGTTTCTTTGCCAAGAAAACTCCAAATGGGTTCATGAAGAGTTGGACATGACTGAAATGACTGAATACCATGACCCCCTAAAAGGATCTTAGGGACCCCCATGGGTCTGCAGACTATACTTTAAAAATCTCTGGCTTAGAGCATTAAAAAAACTAAGTGACTTGCTCATAGTCACATAGATAGTGTGTTTCAGAGGTGAGACTTTGAGGCTAGCTCTCTATCTACTATATATGTGTGTGTATGTATACATATATATATATCACACACACATATATGTGTGTGTGTGTGTGTGTGTGTGTGTGTGTGTGTATGCAGCCTGGTTTACTTACTTTCCTTGTTAAGATAAGATTTGTTCATAACAAGACTCCTAGGATGACCGCAATATTTCCTTGCCTCAGTGGAAAAGAAGATCCTAATAACCATTTCCAAGTATCAAAATCCAAAGGCAAGAAATATCAGAATAAAGGGAAAGACATTTTAAGTGGGTCTGGGTATAAGACGATGGATGGAAGAACTTCCTGCAAAATCTTGTCTTCTCTCCCTGTTCTTTTGCCTAATGATCCCCTTCTGCTCCCTGCCCAACTGTTCCCCTGGACTCTAACTATGTTTGCACGTTGTGCTAACCCTTCACCCACAAACAGTTTCAGAGAAAGGGAGGGGAAGGAAAGTTTCCATTACTGAACAGAGCTGGAGCTGCTACTTCTGCTGTACTCTAATGGTAAAATAAGCTCAGTGTATTCCTGGAGAATTAATTATGTTTTTCAAAAAAAGGATAAAGAAAACTGGAGCCAATATGATGAGTGTCTCAAGATCTTTCTCTCTCTCTCACCCTCCCCCTTAGAAGAAGAAAACTAGGGATGGTATACAGACCTTAAGTCCGCTACACTTGCCCCAGAATCACCAAGAAGTACGGCCCTCATAGTAATAAGGAATGACTACAAATCATCATTGACTGCAAAGTGAGGATAAAGGCTTTTGTATGTGGCTAAGGGAAGCTAGTCCCACTCTTTTCCCTCTACTATTTCCTTGTGTACAACGGTCATTGGCTCTGAGCCAGGGAGGCTTAGGTAGTGGTTATTCCCATATCGTGCTTTCCTCTAATGTCCAGGCTCCATAAAATATGTACCATCTGTTCAAGCTGTACATGGTGTGTACATATTAAATGCCACAATGATTTAATCGGCATTTGTATGTATTGGATAAGCATCTTTAGTAGGGTCCTTGCCTTGAGTTAGTAAAATGTGTGTGGTGGTGAAGCAGTGTCTAGAGTGCTGGGCCTGGAGTTAGAAACTCCTCTTTGCGAGTTCAAATCTGGCCTCAGACACTTACTAGTTGCATGACCCTGGGCAGGTCACTTCAGTAACCCTGTTTGCCTCAGTTTTCTCCCTGTAAAATGAGCTGGAGAAAGGAATGGCAAATCACCCCAGTGTCTCTGCCAAGAAAACTCCAGATGGGGTCGTGGAGAGTCGGACACAACTGACAAGGGACTTAACAGTAACAAGCAGTGTGGCAGGAGGTGAAGAGCCTGGGATTTACTGCCTTTGCCAGTTATTCCCCAAACAACCTTAGACAAACCTCTAACCCTCTCTGGGCCTCCATTTTCTCATGGGTTAAGTAAAGGGAAGGGCAGGGTTGCACAAGGTGACCTCAATGGTGTCAAAGGCTGCACAGAGCAGTGGAAGATATGCTAAATCTCGAGTCAGAGAACCATGGTTCAAATGTCTGTTCTGTCACTTACCTTGGGCTCCTGAGAGCAAATGATAGCTAGCATTTATATAGTGATTTAAGGTTTGCAAAATACTTTGAATATGTTACCTCATTTGAAGTAGATGTCCTCATTGTCCTTATTTTACAAATGAGGAAACTGAGGCAAACGACGGTTAAGTGACTTGTTCAATGTCATACAGCTGGTAATATCTGAGTCGGAATTTGAACTCAGGTCTCCCTGACACCTTATAGTTGCATTATCTGTTAAAGGTGGGGATTGTTCAAAACGGCCCTTAAGTTCCCTTCCATCTCTAAGCCTGTCATTCTGTGATTCTTAGCTACAGCCCTCCCATCCAAAAGCATCACTCCTAGGCTTCTACCTTCAATATCATTTTTGTTTTCTCTTCTAGAAGACACCTATGAACGAACCCTGATTGTTGATGGGGAAAGTGCAACCATCATCTTGTTGGACATGTGGGAAAATAAGGTATGTGGCTCCAACTGATATTTGTCTACTGGTCCTAAAGAAAATGGCTTTTCATAAGTAAGGGTCTGAATCACAAACAAGTTCCAGTTCCTTGCCTTATACCCAATAAACTATTTTATTTTGTCATTGGTAAGAAAACCATCATTTACAGGAGGCAGTAGACTATTTCAAAACATGTGAAACTATGTAAAATTGTCATTCTAACCTCCAGTCTTCAGCATTTGCTTTTTCCAGAAGGACTCCAGTTTACTGCTTTCAAATGAATATGACAAATTTGCACAGGGACCATGTCTTATCTAGCTTTTGTACCTACTCCAGCATTTGGCAAAGGGCTCTTATACAGAAAACCTTTATTAAATATTTGTTGACTAAGCCCAAAGGGCTATAAAACTGTGCACACCCTTTGATCCAGCAATACCACTGCTAGGTCTTTATTCTAAAGAGACTTTTTTTTTTATGAAAAGGAAAAGAACCTATTTGTACAAAAATATTTACAGCAGCTCTTTTTGTAGTGGCTAAGAATTGGCAATTGAAGGGATGACCATCAATTGGGGAATGGCTGAATAAGTGATGGTATATGATTGTAATGGAATATTATTGTGCTATAAGAAATGACAAAGCGGGATGATTTCAGAAAAACCTGGAAAGATTTATATGACCTGATACAAAATGAAGTGAGCAGAACCAGGAGAAAACTGTACACAGTAACAACAATGTTATATGATGAAGAACTGTGAAAGACTTAGCTATTCTAAGCAATACAATGATCCGTGACAATCCCAAAGGACTCATGATGAAAAATGCTATTCATCTCAAGAGAAAGAACTGATATTGTCCGGTTGTAAACGGAAGTATACTATTTCTCTCTATTTCTTTCTTTCTCTTTTTCTCTTTCTCTTTCCTTTTCCCTCTATTTTTTCTTCCTTTTTTTCTTCCTCTCCCCTCCCTCCTCCCCCCTCTTTTCTTCCTTCTTTCCTTTCTTCCCTCCTGTCTTTTTGCACAAAATGACTAATATGGAAATATTTTACATGATTGCACATGTATAACCTATATCAGATTTCTTACTGTCTCAGGGCAGGAGGGAGGGATAGAATTTGGAACTCAAAACTTAAAAGAAAAAGAATGTTAAAATTTTATTTTTACATGTAATTGGGGAAAAATAAAATGTTATTAAAAAAACCCCAAACCAAGCATTTGTTGAATGACCAAAATGAGCATATTTACAAGGTTCCTCATTTACATTCTCATATGCCTATAAAGCTCTTATAATAACTTCAAGCTTATTGATGATGTTTCATCACCATCACTTAGAAAGACGTCTTGGGGAGTTTTGGGGTGAGGTAGAAAAGGATCTTCCTTGGTGTGGCTTGATGCTCATTCGCAATTCAACATATGGTGTTTATGTATTAAAATTCTGGACTGATATGGCTGGGAGGAATGTCAGAGATTATGTAGCCAACCCTATCCTCTCCCTGCCACATTTCACCACGTATTTTGCAGCTGAGGAGACAGATCCAGAGAAATGGTACATATCTCTTCTTCCCCAAAGCACTCCTCATTTCTCTACAAAGTTGTGCTCACTTTCTAAATGAGGTCTTTCCTGAACAGCTTATTCTCCATTTTCACTGGTTGCCAATGCTTTCCCCCCTGATTATCTTGTATTTATGTATTTATATATACATATATATATATACATATATATTCTATATATACATTTTGTCTCCTCCAATAGACTCTTGAGACTATCTCACTTGTGAATTGTATAAAATAGGCATTTAATTAATACCTGTTGATTATTTGGTTGATTTTTTTTTAGTTTGTTCCACTTTATTTTTTAAATTATTTTTTTTCTATTAACAAGCATTTATTTTCTTTCTTTCCACTTCTTCCTCTTCAACTGGAAAGAAAAAAGACAAACAATTCTCTTGTAATAAATATGCATTGTCAAGCAAAACAAATCCCTACACTGGCTGGGTTCAAAAACACATCTCATTCTACATATTTAATCCATTACCTCTCTATCGAAAGCATTCTTTATCACTGGTACTCTGGCATCATGGTTAGTCATTGTGTTGATCAGAATTCTTAAATCTTTCAAATTTATTCATTTCTTACAATGTTATAAAATTATTCTCCAAGTTTGCTAACTTTACTCTTCATCAGTTCAAATAAATTTTCCCAATTTTCTCCGAAACCATACACTTAGTCATTCTTTATGGTGCAATGGAATATTGTCACATTCGTACGCTATAATTGAAATGGGTTGTTCATGACAGTGTTTCTCACTTCACCAGGGGGAAAATGAATGGCTCCAAGATCATTGCATGCAGGTAGGGGATGCCTACCTGATTGTCTACTCCATCACTGACAGAGCAAGTTTTGAGAAGGCATCTGAGCTTCGAATTCAGCTTCGCCGGGCTCGCCAAACAGAAGACATTCCCATTATTTTAGTTGGGAACAAAAGTGACCTGGTGCGGTGCCGAGAAGTGTCTGTGTCAGGTTTGTGCAGCTATACGAGTAATGTAGTCACTTGGCCCCTTCTTTTCTGTGGTTTGTTCCCCTACTGTCTTTGACTAAAGACCTGAAGTAGGGTTCCAAGCAGGTCCTAGTTATGGACCACAGTGATTTATTTATATTGTTAAGACTCCTATTCTCTTTCTCTCTCTGTCTCTGTCTCTCTCTCCCTCTGTAACAAATAGCATACTGGACATGGGAGTCAGGAAGATCTGAATTCAAATCTTGTCTCTGACACTTATTGGCTATGTGACCCTGGGCAAGTCATTTAACATCTACAGACCTCAGTTTTCTCATCTCTTAAATGAGAGGGTTGGACTCAGTGATCTCAAAGGTCCCTTCTAGCTCTGAATCCATGATCCATTCCCTACTTATTACAAAGTAGCCTTTGAACCTAGCTAGGACAGGGGCCCCCAGTCTTTCAAGACATCTTGGTAAATCTCAAAGCCTTATTTTATTTTGGTAAATAATCAATCTTGTCTTGACTATCACAAACCCCTATTGTCTAAATGTTTCTGTCCAAAGTTCCCTGAGATTTCTATCCTGAAAATCTTTACTGGTGGCATAGCCACATCCTGTAGGTGATGTCAAAACTTCAGTGAACTGAAAAGTAACTCTCCTATATGCAAGAAAAGGTTAGAGAGAAATTGTGAGGAGCAGAATTTTGGACAAAGCATGTTGCTTGATGAGTAACTTGTTTGTTTCTGGTCCCCATGGTTATCTAAATTACTTGAGGGTAATTTAAGACATTAGACTAATCAGACCCAAATAAATCAGTGTAATTTGGGTATTTTTCATATCAAGAAAGAGCTAATTTATTTGGTTGTATAGATAACAGGATCCCATAAATGATTTCAGGACCCCTGAGATGAATTATTAACTCAATATAGATCTGGCGATGGGTACATGTTTGAAAAGGAAAATAGATTTGAAAAGGAAAATAGAAGACAACACAATTATGCCCCACCATAAGAAAATCCAGTATACAGTGGTTCACACTTACAGGTCAGTTAGCATGACACAGTTGTAAAAGTAGTAAGTTCACACTAAGAAAAGGATTGGTCATTTCTTGTTTGTTTTAATTTTGGGGGAAATATGTTCATCCAATAAGCTCATTTTTAAAAATTGCATAGTCACTTGAAGAATGATGGCTAAAAAAAAAAACACACCAGGAAGTGAACTTATCTTTGTTGGCACCATTGTGGTTGAGGTTGGATGTAATAGGGCAGAATATGGGCTGTGGCAGATACTAACTACTTGGGAATCTAGAAATATTTGAAAGACGGTGAGTTTTCTCAACCAGCTGCTCTTTCCCCATGACGTTTGCCAGGGAAGTCCTTGACTAAGAAATGCATCATTAGCTGGCTATCATTGGATAGTTGTTCACTGCAGGCCCCCTAATGTTTCGCAGAAGGATTTTTGTCTTGAAGCTTAGGGGCTGAAATCACCTCATTAATAAAGATGGCTGTAGTTTGAAATGAGGTTTACACGATAACATTTAAAAAAAACACAAAATGATATGTTGACATGAAATAAGAAATGTATCAGGTTGAGGCATTCTTGTACATAAGATGTGTCTTGGGAGTAACTTGGAAAGTTTTTAGAAGTTGAAAGTAAATCTTTCATGCCATTGGGATGACCTTTTAGCGGATTGCTGCTTAATTCTATGACAGTTTCCTAAGCACCTAAAAACTGTCCAACCCACTTATGGCAAATTTGCGTACTATTCACATATTTTTAAAATAATATTTTAAATATGTTACTTTCCTTTGATAGATTTGTGATTTTATCTGCATGAGCCTGCTTTCTACCAGCACTGATTGCCATTTTTCTGGTGTGATCCATATTCAAGTTTTACCATAAATGCTCCCTGTGGGGATTTATGTAATGCTCTAGCAGCCTTCCTCTGGTTTTTAAAAATATCTCAGTTGGTACTGGAAGGTGGCTGCTGATGTAGCAGTGGGACTGTCCAATTTTATTTAAAGCAGTATAAGTTTTTATATATTATCCATCTTGAATTTTCGAAGCAACTCTCCTAGGTAGAGAAGGGCAAGTATTGTAGCAATTTTGAGTAGAAAAAAACTGGACAGTAACAGCATCATAACTTGCTGAGGGTCAAACAACTTCTTTGTGATGGATCCTGAATCTGAAGTGATGACTGATTTTCGAGGCTCTTTCTGCAAGACTATTGGCTTCAATTTATGCACTGGGAGAATGTGCCTCATTATGGTGAAAAGGGTATGCTAGAACCATTGCCTATGAATGACCAAAATCCACATCTGTGGCAATTTCAGAATAAAAAGAAGCCAAATGTTCAGGTTACCTATCTACTTATAACCCTCAGAAGGCTGAGCCCAACCATAAAAGAAGAAAAAGAAGAGGAAGAGGAAGAAGAAGAAGAAGAAGAAGAAGAAGAAGAAGAAGATGATGATGATGATGATGATGATGATTACTCACATTTATATAGTACCTTAAGGTTTGCAAATCACTTTACTTAGGTTATCTTGTTTGACCCTCACAACAACCCTGAGAGCTAGGTGATATTATTATCCCCATTTTACAGATGAGGAAATTACAGTCAGTTGACTTGCCCAGGGTCACACAGTTCATAACTGAGAGAGTCAAGATTTGAATTCAGGTCTTCCTAGATCCAAGTCTAGCACTCTTATCCTTGATACTCCTTAGCTTCCTTGGAAGATTAGCAGATCTGGCTTCATGACTTTTCTCTTTCTTTCTTGCAGAAGGGAGAGCATGTGCAGTGGTCTTCGATTGCAAGTTCATTGAGACCTCTGCTGCAGTTCAGCACAATGTGAAGGAGCTGTTTGAAGGCATTGTCCGGCAGGTGCGCCTGAGGCGGGATAGCAAGGAGAAGAATGAGAGGAGACTGGCCTACCAGAAGAGGAGAGAGAGCATCCCCAAGAAAGCCCGCAGGTTCTGGGGCAAGATAGTGGCCAAGAATAACAAGAACATGGCCTTCAAGCTGAAATCCAAGTCTTGCCATGACCTCTCTGTGCTTTAGAAGCTTTGGCCTCCCCAAGATGTCCTCCTTTATGGACATTGTTAAAGTCCAGTGGGACCAATAATCAATCTACATTAGATTGGATGCTCACTCATTGTTAGACTTGGTGTCCCCATTGCCATTGGGAATTGGCAACATGCAACACAGTGCATGGGAAATGAGAGGTCTTTGTTACTTGTCAGTATTTATTCATAGGAAAAGGCTTGTCTTCACTACCTGAATCCATCCAGACTCACTGTAGGGCAAGTTTTGCTGTTGACATGTTTTTTTTTCTTCTCTCTTTTTGATAACAGCAGAATTTTAAAAATAAAAATAGAACCCATAGGATAAGAACATTTCTTTATTAACATAACTTTATCCAGTGCTCTGCCCAAATGGATTTGAAGCCAACATGGTATCAACCTATATACCTTCTGAGGGTTATTCAGGATGGGGACATTTGTCCTTTTTCCACTATAAGAATGGCCTCCCCAGTCAAACTCAGAGGTGCCTTGTTAACGCTTTATAGAGTTATGACTGGAGTGCTGGCCCCCTTACTATGACAATATTGTTCCTTGGTAAAGCTGTGAAAAGAAGTGACTGACCTCACTGGAAACTGAACCTAGAAATCAGTTTTGTTAAGTGCCAGCAGCTAGAAATCTGCAATTCCGTAGACTAGGTAATTGATATATGTACCCCTCATATGGTGTCAAAGATTATATATCCTTGAATATGTAGCTTACCTTTTTGGTGTGTGTTGTTGTTGATTTAGGGGAGAAATCCTTTTAACGAAGTTCTCCTTCAAGTCAAAATTCTCTTTAAAACGATCGTCTTTTGTTATGCCACAGAGCCATTAAAAAAAAAAATCAGATCTTTTTAAAAAAAAAAGTCTGATTATTGCAATCAGGAGTGCAACTGCCAAATGTCTGAATACAAGCAGTGGTCTGAGCTTTTATAAAACATTTATCTGTGCCCATGTACTTCTGGTACTTGGCATCAGCCCTTGTGTATGTCACAGCTATCCCATATTTATTATTGTTATTCTGTAGAAAGAATAAACATTTTAATATTTGATAATGTGTATTTATGAACAGATTTCTTAATGGGAAAATGTTGATTTTTATTACTGTTTTCTATCTTTTTCAGAATATGCCATTTTTACCTACATGTCTTGTAATAAAAGAAATAAAAAATGTTTGGAAAAAATCCTTAATGTTCTCCCTCCCTAAATGAGATGGTTGAGATTGCTGTTTATAGAGCTCTGAAAGCCAGAGCATTGTAAAGACACTTATCTATTATTACTTCATATTATAGACAGCAGCAGCAGCAGCAGCAACAGCATGGACATAATTGGGTTTAAAGAACATTCCCATCATCTACACCCTGGGGACTAGGAATTATAGTAATTCAGAGATATTTTTAGGTGATGCATTTGTAAAATACTTAGGAAGTATTAAGGGTCATCTAAATGTTAAGTAATAGTAATAGCTGGTCTGAGCTTCTTCTCCAATCTGGCAAATTCCTGATTGAACAGATGGGCCTTGCAGCTCTCCCCGAAGGCCAATAGGCTTGGACTTGGCCAAAGCAAAAGAGGAAGTCATAAAGGATTATAAAATTGTAAGCTGGTTATTCCAAGGCCTAGGCCTGGTCTGGTGTTATGTTAGCTAAATTCTTCCCTCTCATGTTAATTCTATTTAACTCTATTTTTATACTATCTCCCTATGGGTGTGGAGGGATGGGAGAGGATTACAAATTTTCCTGGAGTGAAGATTCATACTATCTTTCTTTCACAATGTACACTGTGCCCCTACATGCCCCTTCTAGTTTCATTTCTTTATTTCCCTGGGTATTTTTGGAGCGCCACCCCAAACAGTCGCCTCCATATCTGCCTCCCCTTTACTATTCCTTACTCAAGTGTGTGCAAACAGCCCTGCCGCTCATTGGAGAGGTCATGCGGAACAGCGGACAGAGCATGGAATTATAGCCAGAGGACGTGAGTTCAAATTCTGACTATGACATACCACCTAGGTGACCCTGACCAAGTCACTTTAATTCTCTGGACCCGTTTCCTCACCTATAAAATGAAGGAAGGGGGCCATATGTGATCTCTAGGGTCCTTTTCAGCTTGTAAATTGTATGAAGTTGCTGTCTTAGAGTGGCCCAGGAGACTCAGGAAATCTAAATAGCTTAGCCTTGAGAGTGGCAAATCACCCTTGCATAGTCATGGGCTTCCTCACTGTGTCTTCTCTCCTTGGCCCAGAACAGGATAATGTAGGTCATATCTGACTGATACTTTCCTTTAGCTGGTTCTGTATGAATGCAGGTTCTCAGAATAAGGGAATTTCCAAGTTGGAAGGAATTTAAGTATCCATCTGGTTCAACTCCAACTCGAAAAAGATTTCCTGCTACATCACACCTTTGTCTGAAGACCCCCAGACCTCCAGACAGTCTGAAAACCACCTCCTTGGGCAGCACATTGCACTCTTGGATAGCTCTAAGTGGGAGAATGTTTTTTTCCTCTGATGTTAAGCCTAAATTTCGTCTCTTCTTGACTTCCATCCATTGCTTCAAGCAAGACAAGCGTGACCCCTCTTTTACATGACAGCCTTTCGATTCCCTGAAGACAGCTCTCATGACCCCCTTGACTTCTTTGCTAGAGGTGAAATGTTATTCAAACAATAACCATATGGGCCCAAAACAAAGAATTCCAGTTTTGGCCAGTTCTAATTTGTGGGAAGTTATTTTTTATATTCAACTTAACACCAATTTCTTTGTAACTGTACCATTCATTGGTCCTAGTTCTGCTGTCTGGGTCCAATCTGAAAGATTCAAGTTAAAATTCAACAAATGTTTTTAATATATATTTTATTTTTCCCCCAATTACATGTTAAAACAATGTTCAAACTTTTATTTTTAAAGTTTTGAATTCTAAATTTTATCCCCCTTCCTTCCCTTCCCTTCCCCCTGTCTGAGATGGTAAACAATCAGATATAGGTTATGCATGGGCAATCATATAAAACATTTCCATATTAGTAATTTTGTATGGGAAGACTTAAATAAAAGAAAAAATATGAAAGAAAGAAAGTGAAAAATAGCATGTTTCAGTCTGTAACACCTTCTAGGCACAGAACATTATGCCAGGCATTAATATATACTGAACATTTGGATAAGAACAGGCCACTTTGCCCATGGAGCCCACAATCTAGTAGAAGGATGGGATGTAGACACAAATAATAATTCAAAACAATATATCATTAATGCACAAGAGTTTTGAATAGGGGACTGTTCTGAGGTCTGAGGGAGAGGTTTACTTGACTGTAAACTCAAATATTTTGAGTCTTATCGATCTTTGCAGCCCTAGGGCTTTCTATGGTACATTCCACATAGAAAGTGTTTAATATATTCAACTCAATCCAACAGACATCTCTTATGTACCTATTTTGTATCACACACTGTACAAATTGTTGGAATACAAGAAAATTAGAACTGTCCCTGTGCTCAGTCTGCTGGGGAAAGCAATGTGCACATGGAAAAAAGAATGCAAAATACATTCAAAATGAATGCAAAGTCATTTTTGGGGAGGGAAGGTGGGTACTAACGACTGGTGGAATAGGTAAAAGTCCCTTGTAAGAGATAGTATTTGAAGAGGAAAAAATGTTAAATGACAAAGATTATCTGTAGCATTCCCAATCCAATCCATTTAAGAAAGGAATAAGCTTTAAAAATGGGCAATGGATAACAGAATAGACTTTGTCCTTACTATTAAAAGAAAGGTTTTTCTCCTCCCTCCCCAAACAGCTGAAAGGCCAAAGAAACCACTTTAGGCAAAATACTCGGTTGCCTTGCTAAATAAGAAAAAACCTAGGAGACAAGGACATTGAGTTTAGAACATTAGAAGATCATTGAAGACTCAAAGCAATATCTCATCATAAATCAGAGAAAAGCAATGAAAGGGAAAACAAGCCTATAGAGAGAGAGAGATGAGAGTGAGGACAAGAAAAGCCAGATTACCTCAAGAGCATTTGTAAATGAAAATGAAAGGACAGTAAAGAGATGGTAATTGGAACATACCTGCAGACATTTCTATAATCAAGTAGTTTAGCTACTAAGAATACCAGAACTATGTCCTATTCCTACACTAACACCTATGTAACTGATGTAATATGTGAGGAAATGATGATATCACCTAGGAAGATGAAGTTGGACATACTGAAGAGTGTCTGGACTTGATCAAATACATACTGAAGCAATCTGTTTTGGAGTTAATAGCATTTTAGAGGCACTCAGGTATCAGTTTGCAAGACATCTCTGAACATAAAAGCTTGAAGTAGTTGTGACCAATAAAGTGTTAGCTAGTTTCTCATTACTATAAAGCCTTTATGAGAATTGCCTATAAACACATCCAGGTTATCCTTGATGAAAACATAAGGAAGGCTTAATTGGGTCTTACTCCAAGGCAGGATTTCATAGGCAGTCCTAATCTCTATTTCTGTTGTTCAATCACTTTTAGTCGTGTCTGACTCTTTGTGACCCCATTTGGGGTTTTCTTGGTAAAGATGCTGGCGTGGTTTGCCATTTCCTTCTCCAGCTCATTTTACAGGTGAGAAAATTGAGGCAAACAAGGACAAGTGCCTTGCCCAGGGGTCACACAGCTAGTAACTATTGGAGTCCAGATTTGAGCTCAGGAAGATGAGTCTTCCTTAGCTGCCACAAATCTCTGTTAATTATAGACTTATTGAAACATGTAGAAAATATATGCATGTGTATATACACATAAATACATATATGTGTGTATATATTTTGTTCAGATTTGTGATTTTCTCACACTGAGGAAACTTTGAAACTCCCACTGTGGAAAATCCTTTCCACTGATAGAGATTAGCAACTTGTGACTTAGAAAGTTGCTTGAGAGGAGAGTGAAAGGTTGAATGACTTTCCCATGGTCATAAAACTAGGATGTCAAAAGCAAGACTTGAATTAAGTATTCTTGATTTAGAGGTTACCCCTTTATCAATCACTCAGCAAACATTTATTAAGGACTTACCATATTCTAGGCATTACACTGTGTCCTAGAAATACAGATTTTTAAAAAAATTAGCCCCTGCCTTTAAGAATCTTATATTCTATTGAGCATGCTCACAAATAAATATTTAGAGGACGTAATATCCTATAAATATATAGATATATGCCATATATATTTCTATATACATATATGTCTATATAGAATATACACATATGTATAGATAACACATAAATGTATAAACATATGTACGTAAGTTCTATATCCATCTATTTATCTGCATAAAGATAGTATCTATATCTAGACAGATATTTAATATATTATATAATATAGAAATATGTGATATTTAAATATATTTAATTTAATATATTATATTTATATCTATGATATATTCAATACATAATATATAATATATAAAATCTATATAAATATAGTAAATAAATATCAATATGAATACAAATATATCTATCTATATCTATATCTATCTAGTGATTTGGAAAGTATTAAGAATTGAAGAACTAGGTGGCACAGTGGAGAGTGCTAGGCTTGGAGTTAGAAAGACTCATCTTCCTGTGTTCAGATCACTTACTAGTGACCCTGGGCAATTCGCTGAATCCTGTTTGTCTCTGTTTCCTCATCTGTTAAATGAGCTGGAGAAGGAAATGGAAAACCATTCCAGCATCTTCGCCAAGAAAATCCCAAAAGCAGTCACGAAGAGACTAAAAATTACTGAAATGACTGAACAACAGCAAGAAAATAACTGGGGAAATTGGGGAAAGCTTCCTGAAAGAGATAGCATTTGACTCCTGTATTTGATTCAACAGAACAAAAGACAGATTTAGAACTTTCTTCAACCAAGATGTCTTCCATGCAATAAGTTGAAATTATATGATTTTATAACAGATGTGGCCAACATTGCTTAAAAATCTGCTGAATATCAACATTAAGCTAAGAATAAGACCAGGGGACATATGTTAACCTAAGGTGTTTATTAGTGTCACAGAGGATGTATATGTGTGTGTGTGTGTGTGTGTGTGTGTGTGTGTGTGTGCTCACAAAGTCCAAAGGGAAGAGGAATTTCTTCTAAGTTCTCTAAATATTCCCAATTGCAAAGAGCATTGCAGTTATCACATTGAGCCCTAAGAGTCTCTTTAATACAATCCATAGTTATTCAA